GAGCCCGGCCCCGCACCCCTGCGCCCGCCGCGCCTTCCCGCCACGTGGGGCGTCACGCCTGGCCGTGGAGAGCCTTTCCGGATCCTGGGCGAGGTGCCTAGCTGTCCTTCCGAGCACCGGCCTTTCCCTCCCGCCCTCTGGGAGGAAATCACAGAAACAAAGCAGGAGCCAGCTTTGTTCCGAGGGGAGTGTCCTCACCGCGCTCCCACTTTGGGAAGCTCTTCGGCCAGAACACAGGCGGGGAAGCATGTGGAGGCTTCCCAGAGGTGCCTACACGGCGGACCCAGCGCCCTGCCCGCTCCAGCCTCACTGGCAGTTGCTTCTGCTTCTCTGGCAGCCGATGTTTTCAAGCTGGTTCGTCTTCTGAGTGTATGTATTTACAAACAGACTCGACTGATGTTCCTCAAAAATTCCCTCCCCCTGAGTCCCCGAGTCAGTCGCTGTTCAGTGAGTCACAAAGTCATATTTTGCTGGCTATGTTGATACAGTCTTAGCTATTTTCAAGCACGGATACCAGGCATAATCTCCTGAAGGGCGGGGACGTAGTTGACATTTCTTTTTATTGTCTAGCAGTCACAGAATGCCCTGCAGAGAATAAATATCTCTTGGCAACCTGGAAACAACCCCAGTGTTCATTGATGGGAGGTCAGAGAAATAAATGATGGTCTTAGTGATAAAGAGGAATGAACCACTGCCACACACAGCCATGTGGATGAACCTCAGAAACGGCAAAAGAGAAGGCAGGCAGACACAAATGAGGATGTGCTGTGTGGTTGCGTCTGTATGAAGCCCCAGGGTGGGCAGTGCTCATCTCCGGGGTAGAGGTCCGTTATGGACTGAATATTTGTGTCACCCCTCCCGCAGTCCCTGTGCTGAGCCCTCGCAGTGGCTGTATTTGGAGATGGGGCCTCTAAGGAAGTAATCAAGGTTAAATGAGGTCCTAAGAGAGGGGCCCTGATCCGACAAGATCAGCGCCCTTTTCAGAAGAGACACCAGAGAGCTCACTCTCTATCTGCTGGTACAGAGGTGGGGTCATGCGAGGACACGGTGAGAAGGCAGCTCTCTGAACGGACTGGAGTCTTCACCTTAGACTTCTAGCCTCCCAAACCACAGGGAAAATTTTTCTGCTGTTGAAGCTGCCCCGGCTATGGTATTTACCGTGGCTGCCCTAGCAGGCTAAGACAAGACCACAGTAGCGGTTGCCTCTAGAGGAGGGGCATTAACTGGAAAAGGACACAAGGAACCTTCTAGGGGGATGGAAACATCCTACATCTCAATAGGATGGTGGTCACAGCGATATTTACATATGTATATGCAAGAAAGTCTTGCACTGGTCATGTCAGACGTATGTATTTTACTGAATGTAAATTATCATCCAATAAAGAACTGCAAAGTGGATCTGTTGGTGAGAAGGATTATCTGCACGGTGACTCATGCGCTCCAACTGATCAACTTGTGGTGGAGGTTTGACGAGCACTTAACTGTGCAGATTCTTGTACTAATCACAGGTTTAGCAAAAGCAGGATGGGGTGGAGGGGGCGGGATGCAGCGTCCCTAGCTCTCAGGGAGTTTTTCAGCTCCAAAAGCAATATCTGGATGTCCTCGAGTCACAGCCACTGAGCCAAATTGTACCCAGTGCTAGCGGCTCGTTCAGAGACTTTTGACACTCAGGAAGCCACATGTACTCTGTCATGCTTTCATGGTCCCTTCGAGAACCAGCCAGCCCCAGATCTGCTCAGCTGCTGGCAAATCCAACCAGGAAAAACAAAAAGGAAACGGGAGAGCTGGCGCAGAGTCTCAGTGAGATACGAAACAGTGCAGTTCTGACCTTAAAGATTCCCTCTACTCGAGCAAAAAAAAGCTGAAAAGCGTTCTCCGCCCACACGGCAGCAGTGGTGTGCAGCATTAATGGGGTTGTTAGCACCTTGGGCCAAAAAAAGAGAAAGTCCTCCCCTGGTGGCTCCCCCTCCCTTGTTTCCAAGGACTTCAGCAGTGCCAACGAGATGTAGTCAGACGCCACTGCAGAAGCATCGTCAGCAGGCGAAATCCACGTGTTTCTCCCCAGGGAGAGTTGTGCCATTTCACTGGGTGTTACCAGGCTCTTTGCAATTAAAAAAACAAAAGTTGTTTGCATAAAATCGCTGACATTCTAGAAAAGGTAAACACGGGGCACGCATGCCTCCTCTCTGCTCTCCTGGGTCCTTGGCAGATGTTCGTCATTGATCACAGCTCTGTGAATCACTGAGCGCAGTTCTAGAATCAGTGAGGTGCTGGAGCTGGCTGGCCAGGAAGGCCGCTTGTTAAATTCCAGAAATCTTGCTCGCTGGTTGTTAAATCCATTCACTATCAGAAATTGGTAGACATTTTTACTTGAATTACATTAAAAGGAAAGGTAACGGATACTCAAAATCTATCCCTTCCTAATTGTCTTACTGCATTTTACTATTATCCATGTGCCTGAGGTTACTTACAAATACGGTATGTGGAAATGCTGGGTGATAGTAAGCCAGGGTTCCTCTCTTCCCAACTCTGGGTTGACAGAGTATTAATAGCTTGAAATCTGTCATCATGATAGCATGTACATCACAGAAACCAGCAAACTCTACAAGTCAAGGCATCCTCCCACTCCCCTGGCAAGAGCCAGTTGTTTAACACCTACCAGCGTACCATTCTCACAGGTCAAGATCAGGTGATGAGAGACCCCAGAGGAGGCAGCCTGTACCCATCAAACTCCTGCTGCCTGTGAGGGAGAAGGTGTGTTGGTCACTGTGCCTTTCCTTTGGCTTGGAAAGATTAACTCTGAGCACTCATCAGAGGAAATCAAGCCTTAAAGAGCTAGAGAGAGCCCCTAGATCCAGCCATGCCTGAAGGCTGCTATATTGTTTTCACTAATGTGAGACTTGCCCAAAGGCATTGTCTTCTCACTCTCACAAAGACACCAGGCGAACTCCCAGGTTGGCCCAGGAGGGGACAGGTCATCGTTTGCCCTGGAGTCTTACATGAAGGTGCCGGAAGGAGTCAGCCAAGGATCAGGGGCCAAAGTCAGTCCAGATCAGAAGCAAACATAGGGTATAGCAGCTGGAGAAGCCGGAGACCTGAGAGGGGTGCAGGCAGGGGTGTGAGGCCCCAGAGACAGCTAATTCGGGGGTTATTTCCTAGGCCGCCTGGCTTGGCTGCAAGAGGTAGCAGAGAGCAAGCCCGGGCCTCAGAGAACTCGCACACAGGAATTGTGATGGAGATACTTGTTTCTCAATTTCAGGCCATGAAACACACAAAGGGGAGAAGTCTGCACAGCTGGGGCCACACGAGGTAAGTGCACCTGCCTGCGAGTCCGCCTGGCTCAGCAACTCCGAGACGCTGCTGCCTCTCACAGCTATCATTTTTCCCTCTTGATTTATTTTGACTTAAAATCCACCTCTGCTCTGAAATACTGGAGCCCGATCTTCTCCCAGGTACCTCTCCTCAAATGCAGATTTGGGGGCTGTACCCCTTGGAAGTTTGATGGAGAGGTTCTAGAACTAGGCCAGGTTGCGAGTCCCTCAGGCTACACTTCCCACTTCATTGTCAGTTGTTTCCGTAAGGGCACCCTAAAGGCAAAGTCGGTGGAAGCCAATTTGTTGGAGTGGAAGGAAGGTGGAGGGAGTGGCCTTCAGGCTGAGTGGCAGAATTTGCAGGTCCCAGCACAAAATGAAAATGCAGGGCTCCTGGGTCACAAATGACGAAGGATTCCAGGGGATGACAGCTCAACATGAAACCAAGCATAGACCCTTTTGAACAGGGCCCTGTGTGAGCACCCACAAAATCAGCCCTGGTCACAGGGGATTCTGTGTAATCTCAGTATTTGCACCCCCGCGGCTGCCCACCTGACTTTCAAGGTTAAAGTCTCCAAGCAAAAAGCAGTAAGTCTTGAAGGTCCGTGTCTTGACTCTGGAGGAGAGCCATGGTCCTAGCGGGTCTGGGGAGGCTGCACTTGCTCCCTGACTGGGGCCCTGCTGGAATCCAGACACAGAAATGTGTCAGGGAGATAGGAACGGAGGCAGGGTGGGGGGAGGACCCTACATCTGGTAGCCCAGCCAGGAAGAAGGCCACACATAAACATCCACAGAGGGCCCCCACCCCGCCGTGCCTCAGAACCATCCTCCGGCACATCAGTCCCGACTCTTGTTGGCCGAGTCATTCCTTTCCATTCTGATCCTGTCTTGAGAAGAGACCAAACCACTGGGGAGACTAACTGGCACTCAAACAGTCCCAGTTTGCCTGGGACTTTCCGAGTTTTAACAATGAAAGTCCCGTGATCTGGTGAGCCCGGTGAATGGGATGGCTTTCCATAAAGCAAAGTCACAGCCAATGCCCACAGGCCGTATGCAAGGGCTCAGGTCACTCCCGTGGGCAGGTGTCCTCCCAGACGAATGGGCTGAGTTCCCACGATCTGCGGCAGCAGCTCAGTGGTCTCACTGTCTGCGGGTATGTTTTTCCCTGCCAGGGTCTCCCATCACTCACAGTCAGACACAGCAAGGCCAGCGTGCTAACTGTGGCTGCGGCCAGGGATTGGTAGCAGGTGCTTTTGGTGTTTCCACCGGAAATAACCCCACCCATGCTCTGGGCAGTGGTCTGCATCTCCAGGTACACATCAGAACACCAGACCCACAGCTCTAGCGCCTAGAACGCCGGGCCCTTGACAGCCCCTTTGTCCAAAACAGGTTTTTCAGGAAAATCTCAGCTCTACCCAGGGTCTCCTTCAGCTCACCTTTCTGCAGCTGTGGAACCGGTCTCCACTCAGACATAAATCCTGGTTTCAGCAATTTTTTTTAAACTAAAAAAGAATATCAGCCCCATATTATATTTCCTTGATTCTCAAAGCATTTGACACTGCCCATACTGATCAGCTTAGACATTTTATCTCCAGGCACTGGCCATTTGAGATGAAAATCCTACACTCCAGCTTTCATGGACAGTGACCAGGGGGATGTATTGATTGTCCAGTTGGAACATTCGTACTCTACGGATACCATGAATCTGATGACTACTCATGTTCCCTTCTTTCCATTGGCTGCTAGGAAGCTCAGAGTGGCTCACTTTTGCAACTGCTTAGACTACGATATACACTGTGTGTTAACTTTACTTCCAGTCTCAACTTACTTCCTAAGCTTACTTTCCCTTTGACCCAGTGTCCTGAGCTATTTATCCTGGCCTATTGAA